TTGAAGTGTTTTATTTAAATGAGTACAATTTAATTCAAGTTATATACAGTATTTTATACTGTAACTCAATAGCAAAATACATTACCGTTAACTTCGTGAGGAAAACGGGGGTTTACACACTTTACGTAAAGGGCCGTAGTTGAAATTTAGTCATATAATTTATATTGCATTTCAAACTGTTAAAAGTCTTTCATTATACCTCTGGCATTTTGCTAAACTACATACTATGTGTAATTAAATATTTCATTTAGTGTCTGTCCTCGGTATTTATTCTGACTCAAAATGAATTATAAACATTATACTGTTAGTTGCTCTGTGCTCCACCACATTCTGCCATCAGAAACCGAAAACCGATTTTATCGAGCCTTATATTAATACACTCGATATGAAGCAACTCAGAAAGGACAACATTCTAAATAAAGCTGACTGAACCATTTTTGGTCACGACTTCAAACAGATTATTATGAAGTGTTTATTTGTGTTTATTTATTCTATCCGATGAGTTCTCACTGTCTTAGGTTGGTAGCTGTTTTTAATTTCAGTATATTTAATACTCTAAAATTTTTCACCAAAGGATGGCAGTATATAAATAAAAAAATTCGATTGAAAAATAGGACGACGCGGACGGAATTCAAACCGGCATCTACACCGTTTCGTTCTGCTTCTCTAACAAATTGAGCTATCCTGTCATTGTTATCGTCAAGATTTCAACATTTTGATATATCACCTGTTCCGCAATGTAATTTCATCTTTATCACTTACGAAGTTAAGTTCAATGTGTTATGTTTTGCTGAAGAAATTATTTAATCTTAAACTCTGTGTTATCGTCTTTAAGGTCATTTTATAAATTTGTATCTGAGTTTCATGGATTAAAGACTTAGCCGAGGAAAGCGCAAAGTCTCCTGATGATGATTTGACGGGCTCGTTGGTCTAATGAAAGCGATCTATGGCTAATAATCAACGGGTCGTGAGTCCAATCCCCACTTTGCCCCATGGATGGGGCAAAGTCCTACAATTCATCTCCAATGAGTTGTGACGTTGTTATTTGTTTGGCCCCTGTTCTATAAAACAGAAGAAATGTAAATATCTATAAAGCTAATTTAATTTCTGGTGTACTACTTGTGGTTGTAATATTCAGTACGTTAGGCCTATCTGATCCAATTCATGAAATGGGCTCATTGAATTGTTTTGCGACCAGTGAAGTTGATGTAATGTGTGTATTAACGTGTTAAATGTCTTTGTTTAGTCATATTTAACCCGATACATTTTACACCTTCCTTTTAAGTTCCTTTTTAATAAGCAACACATCAATTCATTTTTATTAATACATTTAGCGTCAATTACATTGTAGCTAAGATCAGGCACAACTCTCGGTGCCATTCTTTATAGTTAAGTGTTATTTTACGCTATAATGTAAAGAACATCAATTATTGTTATTGATAAAATAAAACACTCTTGACGGTTTAAAACACAAAATATGACATTCAATTTATCCCCTCCTGCTCACAACTACTGTTAAGTATCCGACTTTTGCTTGCACCAAGATAAAGATACTATTATGCTCCGCGTTTTAAACCGATTTTGTTTTATTTAATATGTACCACTTGTTTGAAAACATTAATATTTTTCATATGTTATTGCACATGAAGGCACTATATAATTTAAAAATCGAAAATAAATTGAAAAAAATTTCGACTCGGGCAGGACTTGAACCGGCATCGTCAGCTTTCCGTGCTGTTGCTCTACCAATTGAGCTACCGAGTCCTACACCTCATCGTCAAATTTTTTAACTTATTGATACATGCACCTCTCGCGTAATGGTAGAGCAACAGCACGGAAAGCTGACGATGCCGGTTCAAATCCTGCCCGAGTCGAAAATTTTTTCAATTTATTTTCGCTTTTTAAATGTACCACTTGTGCTAATAACAGACAATAAAATGCGACGAAAGGTCTGGTATCATTTTTTCAAATTGCAAAATATTGTATTAGCGCCTAACGATAATTAAAATTTAGTTGTATATTAAAAATGGTGGAAATTTTTGTTCCTGATTGAACAGTTCCTGATTAAGTGCATCTACAATTCTGCTTAAAACTGCGGTTTTGAAATTTCTTGCTCTTTGCACATTTCCTGCCCGTGATGATACGATATCTTCACACCACTTTCCAATAGATTGGGCAATTATCTAAAAGTGTTTGCCCATTTCCTATAAAAACTGCACTATATATAAAGCGAGGAGTACAGATATATTGTTTTAGCAAAAGCTAGTTACAATTTATTGACAAAGCCTTCGCAAACTTGTATGTGGTTTGCGAATGGAAGCGTTAATTCAATCTATGTTCAGTGAAAGTTAGTTTAATCGTATGTACCGTGCCCAAAAGTTGGATGCAGCTGTGTTAAAACATTAGATTATCTACAGCGAACTCCGATAATGAGGTGAAGTTAAGGCTGTACGCATATGAGGCATCGCTTTAGAATATAGCTTTAAGTGGGACAAGAACGGACTTGATAAAACTTAGGATCGTTGGGTTTTCAAGCTGTTCCGCCATCACAAGTAGATGACCCCGTCGGAAAATTACTTTCAATAATAGTCAACCATTGAAACGGACACAATAATGTGTCTGTGCTCTCATAGACAAAATGGAATGTCACGCCATCTTCAATTTTATTCCTCTCATAGAGGGCCACAATAGACTACACATCAACCTATTAAACACCAAATTATCAACTCGTATATAGTGTAATACTATTGTTGTTAAAGCGATAAGGAAGTCGATATATCACATGGAAAACAGTAATAATTCAGTCATAAACATCTGTGCTAAAATTCTCTGTTAGGAAGCAGTTAAATTAAATGTAACTACAGACGCGATACGGCGAAAGAGAACAATTAAAACGGATTGTTATATAATATTTTATATATTATATCTGGAATTAAAAGCCACTGCATTTCGTGTGCATTTAATTTTATTCACAATCCAGACTACCACAGATACAGAACATCAGAGAGTGTTCTAGTCACAGATACTACAGTATATTTTCAATGTTTTTTTTATTGAATGGAAGCTTTTTAAAAATATTTTTAACAAAAACTATCTATGTGAACACGGAGTATTGTAGTTTACACGAGTAGCGCATATTACAATAAAACACTTCTAACGGTTTATAACGTGAAACATATTAGTAAACTTATTTTTAATTTATTTGTACAGCTCGACGTTTCCAATGCGTAATAGGTCACGGGCATTTCGCGTTTAAAATAGTTAAAAATGTTAACAATTTTATTGAAATGTAAACACGGATTTGTGCTTTTTATAAGTGCTTGACATAGCAAAAAGTTTTCTCTCGTTAATCATGGGGTTCGTAAAAATAAATATATTCAGTAAACTGTTGTATGACACGGGCGGGACACGAATTCACGAACACAGGGTTCCTTGCCGGTCCTCTAATAATTAAATCGATTTTTTTGCAAAAAAATCCCTGAAAAACAAATGAAGCCCTGTTAAGAGGACTATGTGTGCGGTTAGCATAATGTAATTTTGTTGTACCCAACGCTGGTGGTGTAATTTAATAAGAACCTAAGCTGATATAGCAGCCAAAATAATGGAATAAAATATAGCTTAATTAATTGGCTCGTACTTTAATCCGCTTACGATTATAACGTTTTCCTTTTTTGTATGTATTCTGTGGCCACGTATACAAACAGTAATGATAAAGCTTGGGTAATATATCACAAATGTTTGCTATATATCTGAAACTGTCACAAATATGACAAACATTTTATTGTAGAAGTGTGATCAACCAATTTTATTAACAATTCTTTAATTTCCCGAATTTAAGCTTTGTATGGTAATGGTACAAACAATAACCAATGTATTAATCTAATTATATGTTTTATGATACTATTGTTATTAAATTATTATAATTTGTAATGAACATATAAGCTCAAACCGATGTACATTTTGTTTTGCTATTTTAGTTACATTATATACAAAGATTGTATATTTTGTTTCGCCCACCTTGCACATCTCGTTTTTTCCGTAAACTTCCTCATCTTTCATCTTGGGTTTTAGCGATCACGTCACCCATTCCACCCCATTTTTTTAGTATATACGTTTCGTCTGTATTTTTGTTCTTTTCTTTGTGCAATAAAATGTTAATAAATAAATAAAAATACATTAAATAATTATGATAAAAAAATGACAGAGATTCGACCTCCGTTACGTTACATTACGCAAAAAACAAACAAAACCGTGAATTAATTTTACATAAGAGAAGAATCCTTCAATCTATTTAACCTTAAAAACATTCGCATTTAGAGTATGTAAAAGTTTAAAAAAATAATAATAGCATTATATTAATGTGCTCTTATCAAATAACTTTTTCTTTTAAAATTTACGTCCTTAAACTCAAGATTAAACAAACTTCTATATTTGTACCTATGTGATTTGTAATGTAATCAAACTTTGCGCCCCCTGAAACTTCAAAAGTACCCTTCAAAACTTCAAGTCTATTTGACCTAAGCTTATAATTGTGTCCTTCTATAAACTTCTAAACCGTTCTATTATACAGATTAACTATTTAATTACCGAGTACCTAATTGAATTTTTACTTTATTGTTTAATATTTGTTAAAAAACGAATAAAGCTATTAATTGTAAAGAAAATCAAAGTATAAGTAAGTAAGATTACAAAGATGGAGACGATGCTAAAGCTAAAAAATACTTTCTTTTTGTAATACTTTTCAGCCAGTAAAATAACCACTGGCCGTAAAATAACTCAACAGTCGTTAGTCATAAATTATACAAAGAGGAGAAAACAAATATCATCTGTTATTCATGACAGATAACATTTAAATTTTAAGATCTTATTTTTAATATTATTGAATTCTCGCTGCCCGAGGGCCCCATACTTTTAATATCGAAGACATAATATAAAATTATGTTTCGCGTTATATCTCTTGGACGAAGCGTCAGTCTGATATAGGAACTCTTTGCGTGCGCATGTTGGTAGCACAGGTGAAAAGCGCGCGAAAACATTTTATCTCGATAGTGTATTCATATTTAGGATTTATATATGTTTTTATGTTTTGGATGTTAACAACAATTATTTTTTAAGTGGCAGCTGATTGTTTTCTCGTGGGTGAGTATTGCTTTGAGCAATTTATTGCTATTTATAAAATGTATTGGTTACGTAAATTGTACATTTAATAAACTTTCGTTGATAATGCGATATGATGTACAGAAAAAGTTAAATATTTAAATTTCACTTGAATTACATGACTGAATTAAATTAAATTATTTTATAAAAAATTTGTATAAAAATAAAACATAGGAAAAAAAATTATTATCAGAAAAGCTCAATCACTCCGTTCTTTTAAGAGTTTACTCTATAAGTTTAAAATTTCCAATATTGAAGATACTTTCTCTACTACTCGTTGTGTGTAGTTTCACTATGTACCTTTGATATTCTTTGTTATTCCTTAAACCTACCCACTAAATAAATTATTTTCTATTTCTTCTCTTCTGTACTTCAGAGAAGAAATGGAGAAGAAACTGTGTCGTGTTTTATAAATAATAAAGCAATAATAAATAAAAAAGAATCATCGTAATTAATTATTGTTAATAAAAAAAAACAAAATATTTATAAGTACAAACATTACTTACATTAATTTTAAATGTTGAGTTTAAAGTTTTTGTTTATTATTATTTAATCAAATTATTATGTTAATATCTTGTTTGAGTTTATAATAATATATTGTTATAAATCTTGTTAGATCAAACATATGTATCTTCTTCATGACAGAGGATGACAAAGAGGCTTGGCGTTTAACGGTATAAATGCCCCAGGTTTTCTAAGTATATCTTTTTAACGCGTTGTCGAAATATTTTGGGTTTGGACATACAAAATCAAAACTCGCAGTATTTTCACCTGTTGTCGATAATTCCGGATGGAATTACGATATTTGTAAGTTTTGGAAATTAAGAATGGTGGCCCTGTTCGGAACCGACCCCCTGATCTGTTACTTATAAACCAGATATTGGTCAGACTTTCAAGAGAAAATGTCGTAGATACTAAGCAAAATATTGTAAACGTGTCTATCTTATAAAGTCTAATGGGACGAGGAATTGTTAATACATCGTGAGCGGCCATATTTGTGCATTGTAAATATTTATAAATCACAGTCTAGCCACTCGTCGCTTTCCGCTTTTCTGTATCAATTATTAATGTGCAGTAGTCCTATTATGAAGGACATTTACTTCCCGGAAATATTTATATATAGCCCTGGCCAATCATGGTGAACCATATCAGTCTCCTGAATAAATAAAAACGGTTTTAATATCAGAAGTTCCACCCATGGGGTTCAAAACTTTTATTTGAGGATATAGAACACCATAACAGGTGGCAGGATATCCTAAAAGACTTTAATTGTTTTGACTATCTCTGGAATGATTATCTTATAAAAGATGCGCATACTTTTGTGCAACGACTGAAATCGAATCTTTATCTTTTTAAATACTGTCTGTAGGTTACGCGCGTAGTAGGTACACATTTAAATAAAATACTTTAACAACTGCTGGAAAGCATCTGAAACGTCGGGTCGTAATTAAAAATAATTTTCAAACAAGTTTAACTAAAATATATCGCGTTTTAAACTGTTAAAATATGTTATTTAAATCTTTATCTTTTTGTCATTAGTTTTTAGAGCAAGTTTCCTTATTTTATTTTGGTCAAAGGTAGTTGGTATAACGTTGATCAATACCTTTTCAACGGTAATTTCATTTTTATGTTACAATATACTATCGGCCTAAAATTTTCTTCGGATATTCGGGAAATCAATTGACTAAAGCTGAAACGTGTATTCTACACTTCACAGCTTTTCCATTTGACGGAACTTCGATATGCCTACCAGCCGAATAATGCCTTTATTAATAGACGACGCGTAGAACGTGTTAAGGAAAAACAGGCCCTCTCCTTATTTTTTACCTTTTTAGTCTAAACACACTAGGTTTATCAGATTTCCGAATTCCGGAAATTCGATTACCGCCTATTTAATGAAAACACTTCTATGAAAAAAAACAAAATTTTCAAACCCCTTACAAGTTCATTTACATCATAATAGAAATTGTGGCTTTTTAAGGGGCTAAAACAAAAAAGCAACAAAAGCGTGGTTTTTAATAAGGAGGAAAATAAAAATTCACAATCAACTGTAACGCGAAAATTATTGAATTTTACTATTATTTGTGTATGAGTTATGCTAACAATTTGCAGTGACTGTGCTCTTTTAAATTAATATTTTTAAACTATAAAAATAATAAGTCGAGTCATAAAATTGCAGTTAGGCTACTCTAGCGGCATCTCATATCATAAAAATCTTTTTCAAAAATCCATAAAATGATCATACGTCCTATCTAATCGTTCCAGCATTTTTTACTTACATACCATTAAACATTCATCACAGACATTCTTGTGATGTTCATGACTCCGCATATTTGACGAACCAATATCTAACCGTCTCAATGCAAAATTCAGCTTTATTCTTATTGCATAGAGAAGATTATGCGATTTTCGCGTTTCGTCAATCTGTTATTCTCTTGTGATGAATCTAGATACAATACCTACACGCATTTTAATATTACAATCTTTCTATATACATATGAGTCGTAAACATTAAAATAAAACACATTAACGGTTTAAAACGCGATATATTTTAGTTAAACTTGTTTGAAATTGTTTTAACTATGGCCCGACGTTTCGGATGCTTTGCAGCAGCCGTGAACACGTTTTCAACTGATAAAGTGTTTAGTTTAGATCAATATTTCTTTTAAATAAAACACTTTAACGGTTTAAAACGCGATATATTAGTTAAACTTATTTGAGAAATGATTTTTTACTTCAGCCCGACGTTTTGGATGCTTTGCAGCAGCCACGGGGAGACGTCGAGCAAAAGTTAGAATAATTTTTTAATTAAGTTTAAATAATATATCGCATTTTAAACCATTACAGTGTTTTATTTAAATGTGTACTACCCGCGTAAACTATAGACAGTATTCAATATTTCTTTCTTTTTTAGGTAACTGTTTTTTAAAACTTCTATAAATTTTACTTAAAGTAGAAAATACTAATTTATTTATAAAGCTGAATTATTTTTGAATGAATTTTCAAGTACACGTGTATTTTAACTGGCTACGCTGACTGGTAATTAATAATATTAAATGTTTTATCGATATGACTTGAAAGCATCGATAAAGCATGTAATATAAATCGATAGTGATTGATAGTATCGATAAAAAGATGTATTCAGTTGTCAAAGATCGCACAGAATCTCTGAATAGCATTGAGAACGGGAGCTCAACGTTATAGTCAAATATTTGTACAATTTATCACGATTAGTTGTAATTGGAGCATCATGGCTGTAAACAATGACAGCTGACATCACGACCTTCGAAATATCAAGATAGTATCGATTCAAATTAAGCGCATTTATCGATAAGAATTATCTTGCTAGTGATGTTCAGTGAGACGTTATCGATAAGGTTAGGTAAAGCTATATTGCTACGTGTGTAATGTTATTCCTGCGAGAAGGATTATTTCACTTGGTATTTTATTGTGGTGATTTCCACCAAAAAAGATTGACAATGCGTCGTCATCGCATGTTATATAAAATACATGTCCAGTTCAAACAGCTATGAATTTTTAGCAATGTAGTTGAGTATTGTCTGTAAATTACACATTAGCAACCTAAAAAGCCTATATACCAAGTCAAAATGGGTCGACAGCACATCATGTTTAGTCTCTACTCCTCCTCCTCAATAAATACAACTTACTTTATCTTATAAAAATATATATACTAAAAGTATTATCATCTAGGTAAGTATTACAGTCTTTTGTATTTTAGAAACGTTGTTTAAATAAATATTTTATTTATTTATACATAGATTTGTATATTATATATAAATACACATATAAATATATATTATATATAGATATTTATTTATTAAATTCACCTTTAGAATATAAGAGTATCTTGTAGGTTGTATTTGATTTGTATTCCATTGTATTAAATGACGTCAGGTCCAGCAATTTCGATCGCCTCAGTTGTCGAATAACCTCAACTGTTCTGTGTAGTATTTCAAGCGTATTCGACAGTTGATTTTGGCAATTAGATATCATATAATACCGGCTGTTGCGGTCTCAATATTCCTTACCTCGTATCGAAACCTAGCCATCATTAGGTAAATTACAGAGGCCTTTAAAATTTGTAAAATACGATAAATTGTTAATAAGGCCGGCATAATTATTGGAAGAACTGACAGATTTTTATTTCATTATGTTCATTCCATCTACTATTCGATATTACATTACAAATTATTAGAGGAAATTTTACATATTTACTAATAAGTATATCGTCATACTAAAATAATGAGTAATGACTTTTAGAACGTAAAATAACATGGAATGAGTAGCCACAAGAAATAACTATTAACACTCGCCACGATAGGTTAATAATGGACATAAATATTATTAACCGATCTTTCGAATGTTTCAGCAAACATATTGTTATATGTTAGTATAACATCAATACATTAGAATAACACTTTTAAGAGTTATTAGAAGACTTGCCTGATAAGAAAATTAAAAAATGTACAGGATTTTTCAAGTTTGTATTTGTTGTAACCTTAATTTTTTTAATCGTTTTGCAAAATCACGTTAAATGTTTTATACACTAGTACCAATGATCTTCGCACCCAACAGATGATTTATTAAGTGTATTATTAATATTTTAAAAAGTAAAATTATTAATAAACAATTCTCCACAAACACATTAATACTATAGAGTCTACATCAAGGTACAAATGAAGAAAACTTTTCTCTAGCAGAATAATATATATTAGTGATATAAATGCGGGTACATACATACGGGTAATATTATGTAGAATAGATTCCTTTGTTGACTGTCAGACGCGTTATCTGAGAATTAGCCACGATTCCCGCTGACATCATTCCTTATCACTTATCTCACGTCTGAGATGATCAGAATCCACTTGTTAAGAGATCAAAGTTAGGTATTTATTGCACAATGTTTACGAGTTTTGAAATTAATTATCTTTAAACAATTAATGATTTTGCTGTGTGAAATC